TTATTTGAAATATTTGCAATATCTTTTGGTTGTGTACGATTTTATTATACAACTTCAAGTTTGTTTATCATATTATAAATATATATATATATATATATATATATATATATATATATATATTATATATATTTAATATTGTTGATATTTTCAGATGTCTTGCCAAGATATAACGTCGAAAGAGCAATAATATATAGTAAAGTTATTGGGTGACGGAAACATTGGGAATTGTCAAAAAGTTGAAAAGAAATCAGGAAACAAAAAAGAAATTGAAAATAGTGCCAAGATAAGAAGAAAGAAAATGACTTTAATTATGTCAGAAAAAGAAATATGAGAAAGACTAAAATGTTTATAAAAAAGAAAAGAGACTTGACCTGTAAGAAAATAATCTGGGTTTATGAATATACATAAAGAGAAAAATTAAGAATATTAAGAACATTAGCTAAGGAAACTACCTTTAAGTAAACCATCATAAAGAGAAATCTATATGTTTAGTGAAGAAGAAAATGAAAACTAATTTCCACACAATGATTTGTAGTAATTAGAGTAGAACTACATTGGATGTAATTGATAGCTAGGGTAGAGGTTGAGACCTTTATGGAAATAGTTAACCAACATGATTCAGAAGGCAACAGGGTGGTTCTTTGGGCTACTATTCAAAGTAGTTTCTTTAAAATTCGATGATGGTTCAATGTAAATTCGAAGATTTATTGTAAGTTTTTGAAAAATAACTGTGTGGGGGGGGGATACAAGTCACACCTTAGAAGTTTTAAACTAAAGAGTATATTCATACAATACAATACTACTTCACATTCTGAAAAACTGGCTATCGCTTACTTTGCCCCAAAAGTTTTTCAAAAACAATAAATTAATGTAATGCCTCTCCCAAACTCCTCAGATATTAATCCAACAGAAAAAAAAACGTGTATCAGAATAGAAAACAATATTCAAGCGAAGAGAATGTTTGGGAATAATGTTAGTCAAAACAGTAGAAAACTAAATCAAAAACTAAATCAATAGAAGTCATAGAATTTATTGTTAAAAATTAATGAGGGTTACCGAATGTCAAGGAGCCCATGTTTGTATGTAATTATGTATGTATATATATACGTATGTATAATATGGGGACATGAAAGACTATATACAGATATATGTAATTACATGTGTGTGAGTTTGTATATAAATATTTTCGATTGATAAGTAAGATATTTATCTGCAGCAAAAGTCTTCTTCTTTAAATGCAACAATTATGTGTAGCCGGACCTTCAATTAATCGCTATTTATTTCTATTTCTCACGACCCCCAAATCTAATATTCATCGAAATTTACCAATACCTTCCCCACATGACCTCACCTATTTCCTTTTTCTCGCTAAGTATCTTATCTGTCCGTCCCCTCTTCCTTTCAATCACTCCTCCTCTTACTCATCAACCTTATTACCCCTTCCCTCCCAATAATTTTATTGTCCTTTTCATCCCTTCAAATGTTTACTACTTTATTCAATATTATACATTATGGCCCCTCAACCATCAATAACAATTTCTTTTCGACATTTTTCTTCCTTTTTTGAACCGCTTTATTGATTAGGACAATGCTATTTAGTGAGCAAAAATGGAAACGAAATAATATAACTTTAAAGTATTAAAAATGTTATAAGAATATATGTTGATCTCGTGTCAAAATTATTCTGCCGTGTTGCTGATTCGATTAAATATCTATAAAAGTTTCGATAAACAAAATCCATGACGAACAACTTGTTCCTTGTATTTGTTTAAAAACTAACATATTCGCACCCCGCCGTTATTTGATTTAAATAGCAATTTATGCAACAACAACAACAACAACAACAACAATAATAATAATAATAATAATAAACTTTTACATATAATAATATATAATGTAACCGTAGATTTTATCATTAATTAAAGAAAAACGATGTTTTTCTTAAGCGCAATTAAAGTTTTTATTTTATTGCTTTATCAGTCCATTAATTATATTTCGCTTTATGCAATTTATTCTCGCTTTTGACTTCATTCTTTAATTCTAAATCTATTATTATTAATAATCTGATTTTCTCAAAGAAGCTATCATTGATTAATGACTACCTAGAGATAAAGAGTAATATTTTAAAATATGGGGGTCAACAAAACTGAGAGTGGATCATCATAAAATTGCAAAAATAATTCCAAGAAAGTTGACCGTAAAGTGTGTGTGTGTGTGTGTGTGTGTGTGTGTGTGTGTGTGTGTGTGTGTGTGTGTGTGTGTGTGTGTGAAAATTAGGTTAAACTTAAGTTCTGTTTTCATGAAAATGATAACTACAACCATAGATATACGAGACATCCTGGGGGACAACCCTCTACCGACAGGACAAACAAACTGCACATTTTCAGGGTAAAAGCTAGTTATTTTCAGGGAAATTAGAAATTTTTCAGAGCAAATTCCTCACGTGAACCTCCTTGTAAAATATCTTCCCGTCTTATGCAGGAAGATATATTATAAATATAAAATTATAAAGAGCTTTCTTTCTTTCTTTCTTGCTTGCTTGCTTGGTTTAATTTAAAAATAAAATTTACCGTTGAAGACGAGTGACAAGAACATTAGAGATTCTTTAATTACCCCCTTCTTACTTTTATTAAAACCTAATTTAAAAAGTCCGCTTATTTTTTAATTAATTGAATTTTAGTTCAGTGAAATATACGTGGCTTATTCTTTGTATTCAAATTAAAATGAATGTGCGTCTATTTGTGAATATGCGATTGTTTTGTTCATTAAACAAAATCCCTAAAACTTTTATGCTTCTTACTTATCATTCAAGTGTATGAGTTTATTTTGATTATTTATTTATTTTTATTATTCTCAATTATAATTCCACCCTGTTTCTTCCGTTCTGAAAAATCACATTTTACTTAAGTGAGAAGTGTAGAAATTGTTTTTGAAAAACCGTTTTAGAATCAACAAACGTATTTACAAGTCTGGCTTACACCTACCCTCCTCCTCTTCATCCTCTTCCTCCTCCTCCTCCACATCTTCTTCCAGTTTGCTGGCCTTCTCTCCCACTTTTTTCCATCATGTTCTTCTCCCTTTTAGATTCTTCGAGTATCAGAAAAGAAATGATTTCTATTCAGGTTCCTGATTTCTCATTCATAATGACATATATTTAAAGCTCATATACGTAATGGCTTCAGCAGTAGATATATAAAGTTTTATAGTGTCACAAGTGCCTAACCGTTTTACAAACGAGTTAGAAATTGATGATATATTACGGTTTGCAAATGTTCCGTGTGTGTGTGTGTGTGTGTGTGTGTGTGTGTGTGTGTGTGTGTGTGTGTGTGTGTGTGTGTGTGTGTGTGTGTGTGTGTGTGTGTGTTTGTGTTTGTATGAGAGAGAGAGAGAAGTGTTTGTCAACAACAACAGTAACAACAACCATGTCCATAGGACAGAGACTATATATTCATACATGTCATTTATGCAGAAAAAAATTCTGTCACCTCTTGGATACACACACAAATACCATTCATACGCATGACCGTGTAAAAATAAGGAACCCACCTCCAAACAGTAAAAATTGATCAACGCTGTGGGACGTTTGCCGTTTAAATCTCTTCATTCAACCACCCACCTACACACACTACAAAATACACACACAATAAATAGCACATACAACAGCCAAACAAATTCAAACTAGCTGATATCAACATACATACACCAACAAATAAACACCCATCAAAACACACGTACACACACATACGCACACAAACCAAACAAACACAGGTTAATTGACAACTAAACAGCTGTTACAAATCGCGCTGTGATTGGTTGTTGTTCTCGATACAGAAGATTCTGAATTAGGAGTGGGCGTGTCTTGTTTTATGTTGGTAGGTGTGGTTAAAAGTGAACTCTGATTGGTCGGCCCGTAACCACTCTGCTCGCATATCAGTCAACGTAGTCGGGCACTGACTACTAGAGACTTTGTCGAGCGGTAATGTGTCAGTAACGGGACGATGTGTCTCCAAGACGACTTGGTCGCGGCGGATCTCCGTAAAGTTTAACAAACCACTCTGTGAAAGCTTTTGTAGCAATACATTTTTGTACACTTGTTACCTCTTCTGAACTTTGATTCGCAACCTTTCACACATCCTATATATATATATATATATATATATATATATATATATATATATATATATATATATATATACATATCTCTCTCTTAATCATATACATATATATATATATATATATATATATATATATATATATACGTACTTATGTATGTATTTGTGTATGCATCTGTGTATGTATGTTTTTGTGTTAAAATATCTGAAATTTGAGAATTTAATATTTATTACCAATTCAAATATTTCTTCTGAAAATCGAAAACAAATAATTTTGACCAGCATCAAATTTACGACCTTTTCAAATCTACTGTTGCACATTATAAAAAAAAAAAAAAAATTTATTATAACAAAAGGAAAAACAATTTTACCATCACCAATTTGACAACCAAGAATAATTTACCTTGACTGGAATTATACCAAAGTGAGTAAAAAAAAAATTATTGCTAATCTAATGAACTTCATATATCGAGGAAGAAATCATAGTTTGATACGACGGCACTGTATTGAAAACCTTAGAAGGACAATATCGAGAAACTTGAGCTAAGAAAAGAAAATAGTTGGGAAACATTATTGGATTTATTTATTGTGTGCATAAAGACATTTCACTATAATTTATTTCTAAATAATATGACTGAAACCTGTTAACCAACACTGTTAAATATGCATATGTATGCATAGGGTAAATTATTTAAATACTTGAAACCCGTCGTATTTTCTATACTGACTAGTGTGATAAACACACGGTCTTTTTTTTAATCATTGAATTGCTTCCACCCGATCAGCACCATAGGTACCAAATACCATCCCCAGAGCCGTCACCACCTGTACCAATATTACACGCAGCAACAGCAGCATCGGCAGCTGTCCAGCTCCTTAATGTTGGATATGGTGAAAATGGCAACAACCGCTGGTTCAGCCCCAGGGGCTATCACTCCTGGAATAGGGTCAGCTAACCGAACGGATAGCAAACACCCGCCACCACCGACTCGCCCACGGCCCTCGTTCAGTATAAGCAGTGTACTAGGAGATAGTTTGGTTGAGGAGAACTCGCCGCCAGCTTCCCCACCAATGATCGCTCCTCCACCACCACCGTCTTCATCCTCTTCCTCTTCATCGTCGTCGTCGTCGTCGGCTTCACCATCGTCAGCTACAATGAGCCCAAACGGTCATTTGCATCATCATCATCACCATCACCTCTCACACCATCACCACCACCATCACCATCCGGCGCACATTCCTCACCCTCTTTCACATCCGCAACAGCTTCAGCGACATCAACCCCAACAGGCACACATTGGATCTACTAATGCAAATGTGGCCACCAACAAATCCCATTCATCAGCGAATCACTTGTTACCTGTTTCCAATCCAAGCGCGACTACCATAATCGAGCCGGGAACGCCGACAGAGTCCCTGCCGGCTATTGATGAAGATGAGGCAGACGCCGAGGAAATTGCCGACGCTGACAATGAAGAGGATGACGATGAAACTCATGTCGACGTTGAATCTTTAGAGTTCGAATCTGAACCTGGACTTCTGGGAGACTCTTCGCGAGTATCCCATGCCGAGGAGGCAGCTACACCTGATGTTAGTCGGGCTGGGTCACCCATGACCCGAACCACTTCACCAAATTCTACAATACCGTCACCAAGTATCTCACCAGCACCATACAGTGATGGCCATCACCCCCATATTACACACCACCAACATCTTCATGACATTCAACACTTAAACAATAACACTATCAAGCGACCGGACAGTGTTGGAGAACATAGTACAGCTGGCAGTGACATTGATTCCGCTGCGGTGAACGCGACTACGGACATTACATCTGGGGATGAGGAGAAAAACAAGGAGAATAATAACAACAACATCACTACAAATAATAACAACCCCACAAACAACAGCAATAACAACAGTAATAATACTTCGAGTAATTCTGGTGATTCCACAAAATCGCCAGGAACGGCAAGAGCTGAAAAGCCACCTTTCAGTTACAACGCCTTAATTATGATGGCCATTCGCAGTAGCCCAGAAAAACGTCTCACACTTAATGGAATTTATGAGTTTATCATGAAAAACTTTCCCTATTATCGTGAGAATAAGCAAGGCTGGCAAAATTCTATTCGACATAATCTAAGTTTGAACAAATGTTTTGTGAAGGTACCTCGTCATTATGATGATCCAGGGAAAGGTAACTACTGGATGCTGGACCCGTCAAGTGATGATGTTTTCATCGGGGGCACGACAGGCAAGCTGAGGCGGCGATCAACAGCCGCTTCACGAAGTCGTCTTGCAGCCTTTAAAAGGGCTGGTTTTCCTCGGCTCTCAGCTCCTGCGTATTCCTTACATCCGGACAAATCCAATCCTTTTTTGTGGTCCATGCCATCTGTCTACCCGCTGGCGGGTAATACGACCGGGTCGGCGTTCCGCTACAACAGTATCACTCCCTATCCATACCCGGCTTTTCTGACTCCAACTGGAGTTACGGCCGCAGCAGCTGCCGCTGCCAACCGCACCTCAACGGGTAGTTCGAATTTCTCTGTCGAACGTCTCCTTGGAAATGAGTCGTCGTGTGGCCCGACATTATCAGCTAGTCATCCAGGTCTGACAACTCCCATCAGACCTGAAGTCACACTCACTGGTCATGGGGCCTATGCTGGACTTGCAGTGTCTCCAACGGCATTGCTCTTCCCTCATTTAACACAGGCGCATGCTTGTGCCAACGGACTCGAACTATACGCTGGACTTCGAGGTTTGCCGGTGTCTCATGCGTCGGCGTTTACGTCGGCCGTCGGTCTACATCCGGCGGCATCCAATCTCTCTTCTTCCGAATCTTCCTTCACACCTGTGCCGCCAGTTGGATCCGGCAGACCCACATAATAATCAATTACACTTGTTCATGGTGACCGTGTGGGTTTTTTTGTCATTTTGTTTTCCGTTTGAATGTACTTTTAAAAAATTCTCTCACATTTTCAATTCATTACAGTGATAGTGAACTACATACATTTTAAAACCAAAATAGAATAAAAAAGAACTATATTCCTGTTAAGTGAAATCGAAAACCTATATAATGTAGATAAACAAATCCAGTGGATTGATACAAAAGTAATGTTTTTAGAGATCATTCTTATTTGATAATTTGCTTGTGGAAGTAACAAGACAAAACACATTTTTATGATTTATAAATTAAAATTAAGTTCAAGAACATTGGATGGAACGACCTGAGTTGGTCATTTTCAAATACTTACTTCTACTTGGTCGTCTTTATTTTGGTTCGAAAACTACGTCGCTTTTTTTTCTATTTTATTTTTATTTTTTTTATTTTTTTATATAAATAAGTTGGTGATCAGCAAAACTAAGCTCTGAAATTAAACATTAAAAATACAATCTGTTCAACTTGGTCACTTGCCTACAAAAGGAAACCACACACACATATAATATATATATATATATATATATATATATATATATATATACACTTCCTAATAAAGTTTATGATGTCTTTTATTTAGTTTCCTCCAACACTAAGCGATTTCGTCAGCGAGAATTGATCGAAGCGAGAAAAATAGTAAAAGACTTTCAAACAATCCACGCTACAAACACTTGTTATAAACTCTCAAGAACTGTCCTATAATGAATTCTAGGACCAAACAGAAGGCCAACAGACACGACAAAGGATTCAATAATGTATGTATCTGAATGTGTATATATATATATATATACATATGTATATCTATGTATAATTGCTTGTGTATATAACCATACGCCCATTGTTGCGTGTATGTGTTGACATATGTATATATATGAATGTATGTTTCTTGTATGTCTCTATATATATGTATATACATACGTACAAGTGTATATATTACCCACATATGCACACCTCCTCTTGTATATATGTATTTGAGCGTGTTTGCGAAAATGTATGTGTATATATCAGTGTATATTAATATAGTTGATTTGCTATACAGACTAAAGGAATGAAAAAAAGTATTAACACACATTAAAAGTATTTCTAAAACTGACATATGCACCTACATGTGTACACGAAACTATTTGAAAGTGTATATATATATATATATATAATTGTATATTTGTATGCGTATATGAATTCGTGTGTAATATTTTGGGCGCCTTCTGCATTATTGTGTGTTGATAAGAAAGTTTGAATGTGTTTAAAATTATGAAAGATTCTGTACAAAATCAACAACCTTAAAAATAATGAAATAAATTGCGATATCGCTGAATTATGTATACATTCTGTGAGTATTCATTTCTTTGTTTTAAATTATTACAAGTTTTATTTATTACTGTTGTTTTAATGCTATTAAATGAATATTATATCCGTTTATGCATATATATATATATATATATATATATATATATATATATATATATATATTGTTTGTATGTATATATATTATATATACATAATGCTTGTATATATATGTACAACTTTCTTTTATCTGAGACTTCTTCATCTCGGTTGACTGAGTTTCGCAGAAACGTTTTACTTAACACCATACATTTTTAATTTTATCTCTTAAAAAAGAAATTTAATTTTTCCATTTTTAAAATTATTTTCCGGTCACGAATTCATTGCCTTTTAAAGTATTGAAGTCAAACCGCATTTATCAAAATTAATAATTATCAAAATTTATGAAAAATTTATATCAATATTTTTTGCTTATGTACTTAATAAGTTCTTCTTAATATTATCAATTTAATTTAATTTAGACCAGTATCTTGATTTAATCATAAGCAATTAGATTTGAGAAATATATAGAGAAATATTATAGAAATAATAAAATAATATATTATCTCCTTGGAACTGTATTCTGAGAATATATTATTTTCTTATCCAAGTTTCTTGAAATTACTTCAGCATTAAGACTTTTGAAACATAAGCAGAAAACACGAATCAGTAAAAAAAGACCTTGACTTTAAATCGCCTTTCGGTAAAAAAAATACATGGAATTATTAATACTCTCCCTTAGTATTCAAAATGAAACCATTCTTCAAAATTTCAAGAATCCAACCTTGTTCTAAGTACTTCTTTTCAGTATATTATTTACAGCTCTTATAGAATTATATATACAGGTGCTAACAGTTTACATCTATATGCTGCCCTTGTGTGGATGTATAATAAAGAGAAATTAGATTATATAAACGCCTCTAATTATTATTATTATTTGTTGTGAAAAAGACAAACTATTATCTCTCAATAAATCACACAAAACTGAGAGTTAGAATCGAAATAAGAGAAATAAATTAGTCTCCCATAAAACATTTATTAGCTGGTCTAAAAAATGTATGTATATGAATACATAAAACTACTCCCATCCAATTTTGTTACAGTTTATATATAAATATTATTTTAGAAATTCACATATTTAGAATATAAATTAAGCACAAGCTTAATATAATCAATACTGAAAATGATTATTATAAAAGTTATTTTAAAAAATTGTAATATATTAAATATTAAAATATATTAAAATAATTAAAAGGTGTTCCTCGAATCAACATGACTTTAGACACTTTTAATAATGACAAACTTAATTTTGTTATTAAAAACGCTGTTGTAGAAATCAATTGAAAATAAACTTCAGAAAGAAATTTAAAATATTAATTTCAAACATTTTGAGATTGATTTTCTTTAAAGAGAAAAAATATAATTGACTTATATGAATATGAAATGATGCCATTGAAAATAAACGACGAAATGAAACGGTAAATTTTCTGACAATTTTTCAGTATCAAACCCAAGATTTTCTCTTCATATAAATATTACAGATATCCTACGAAATTCATTTTAAACGAGACAGATTAAAGAAATAGTGCATATTTAAATGATCTTTACAAAACACTTGTTCTAAATATTCAATTACAATATTATTCATTTAAATTGTTTCTAACGCATTTACCCTTGTCAATGAAATTCTTAAGATTTAAAATACCCTACTTTAATATTTATTTAATTCAGTTTTATACATTAACAAAAGTTATAAAATACGAAGAGATTCGGAAAATTCTCAAACCGACCAAGAAGTGGACCCAAAACAAATGTTCAGTAATTTGTTCAAATTTTGTGAAATGTATCAGATCGAAAAATTTTCAGCGTTCACTCGTAATTTTGTTTCTAAGGAGATTTAGTTTTAATCAAATAATTAAGTTTGTTAAATCCTCTTCACAAATTTAAAATCACAATGTCATTCAACAGTAACTATTTTCCTTCACTACAAATGCATACTTGAAATACTTTGCAAAAGAATTTAGATCTCGATGTCGCATTCTCAGGCCGCTATAAATTTCAAAAAGTAAAACATCATCCAATTCAGTGAATTTTTATAAAATTTAAAATAATTTAAAAATGAGATTTTAGGCAGTCAGTAGCTTAAAAACAAGTAAACTACGAACGAGAATCACAAATAAAAACTAAAAAATAAGTGAAAAATACTTGTGCTAAATAAAGTTAATATCTCAGAAAAGTAATAAGGTGAATGTGAATTCATTTCGAAAAGAAATTATTTTGAGTAATTGCAGAGAGGAGGATGTTTACCGAAGTGAACATATTTGAAAAGGCGAAAGAACAGAACATATGTTGCAAGGTTTATGATACAATACAAATATTTATAAATCAACTAGACAATAACATAAATTGATAAAATCAACGATATATTAATTGTAAGCACATCGTTAAAAAATATAATCGTGTAGTTTACCAATGAAAACAACGAAGTACTTTGTGATTTTGTATAAAAATGTAAAACTATATATAGATAAATAAAAAACCTTAAAATCAAAACGAAAGGAACGAAAGAAACTTGATGTCTCAGTTAAGAAGACAAAGACCCAAACTTATGATTTTAGCGCAATCTTTCCTGTCTCTACAATTTTTTCTTTATTCCACGTTCCTAAATACGAATTTGTGAGGACTTTTTTAAAGTAAGATTTTTGTACCTCATGTTGAAGAATGAGTAGAGAATGAAAAGACTTCATTTTCATTGGTCAAACTAAGATCATTGCAACTAGGAGGAGAGTCAGACAACATAAATATGAACATCTTTCGAGATAATTTATCTACACTCTTAAAACATTGGTCATCAAAGTCAAGTTACTAAACATTAGTTTAGTGACTTTGATGGCGAATGTTTTAAGCGTATAGAAAAATGTTTAAGATAAACTGTAACAAAAAAGGAGTCAAAGGAAACAATGTTCCAAGAGAGGCGGGACTGAGATGAAAGGGACAAGTAGGCTAATATGGAAGTAGACAAAGACCTCCCCTGAACCCCGCTAAAAGTCACGTCGGAATCAACCCAATTGACAAGAATTTAATACTGCTAAATAGTTTATAAAGCCCGCAATAAATTATTTTTTCAAAACCCTTACAATTAAAAGAACAGTAAAAGAAATTATGAAATTTTTCAATAAAAAGTAAGAGTAGAAAATTTTAAGAATATGAATAAATTACAAATATTTGAAAGATGTTTTCATTAAAACAAATTAAAATAAAAAATAACGATAGAAATTTCACTTTTACTTAAAAAAAATTTAACTTAAGGCCAAGGGTAATGTGAACACATTATTTTAGTAAAATGATTATAGCTGCGAATAAATAAACTCTTCTCGTAAACTCATTTAAATTAATATACTTTAAGAAGTATCAAAGTAAATTTCCGTAAAAATGTATAGAAACAATTTGTACGTTTCAAAGCACAGGCATAATTACGATTAAGTATTAAATTTGGGAAATATCAATTCTCTAGAAATCATTTTTTCTTATTTGAAAATTATATAAACATATATAGTCTGTTCATATCTATCTATATCTATCTATCTATATATATATATATATATATATATATATATATATATATATATATATATGTATATTTATATATATACACATATCAGTCTGTTCACATCTATCTACCTACCTATGTCAGTCAGTTCATTATCTATCTATCTATCTATCTATCTATCTATCTATCTGTCTATCTATCTATCTATCTATCTATCTGTCTGTCTGTCTAAGCGTTTTTAGTATTTTTTTCACAAGAAACATACAACCAGGCTTGCGAATTTTGGTGTGTCTCTTATAAAATCTGTCATTTAAAATCATGAGTTTATCTCGTACAATGATGCTTCAATGCAGTACTAAATATATATATATATATATATATATATATATATATATGTGTGTGTGTGTGTGTGTTTATGTATTTGCATAAATTGTTTCTTTTTTCAGACACTCAGAATGTCAGCATCAGTTGTTAGAAAGTTCTATTATAATAAAATTTAAAACCTAAGAGAAAAACCTAGAATTCTATTATTCCGAGAAATATTTACTAGAAATGAAACTGAATATATATTTTTAAATATATAATATATATATATTTGTATATATATAATATATATATATATATATATATATATATATATATATATATATATATATATATATATATATATATATATATATATATATGATGTCTCAGTGGAGAATACCACTCATTTATCTGAAGAGTGCGAGAAATTGCATTTATAATGTGCGAGTTAAATTCATGTCGCACGATTCTTAATATATAAATTAGATAGCTGTATACGATCATATGCATGTACGTGTTAGCATATTCCTACCTCTACATAACATACACACACAAAACTCACACACCACCCATATATATATATATATATATATATATATATATATATATATATATATATATATATATATATATATATATATATATGATTTTAAATATAAATGTAATATCTAGGAATATCTATTTATGGCTATTTATCTACATTTCTATCAAGAATATTACTAAGCAGGGGTGTGACCCCCTCATATATATGAATATGTGGGTGTGGGCTTTATTTGCCTACCAGGGATCCGCATTATACGGACATTCAACTTCTTATTCGACTTTCAAACTTTCTATTTTTTATTATTAAACAACTGTAAACAGACTACATCTAATTTCCTTAAGATTTCAGTTTATATTTTGTAGCCTTTATTGTACAGATCAATGCAACTGAATCAGACTAAACCAATTTCAATGCCCGTCTGTCTTATAAAATCTTTTAAAACAAAAAGTTTATTGCTGTCCATATTCTTTTTTATATTTTAAATGGAACTGGAAAAAAAATGAATGCTCATAAACTTTTCTTCTTTTGTTCTCTTAATAGAAATAATTTTTCAGTTATTAAAATGCATATTTCTAATGTACACACATGTATATATATATATATATATATATATATATATATATATATATATATATATATATATATATATATATATATATACATATATATATATGTCACATCTCCAAGATGCTAATTTATAGTTTGAATTTAGTTTACCATTCTATAAATCATCGCTAACCAACTGGTTGCTGTTTAGGCTGAAAACTTCTAAGTATTAAGTTGATGTCAATTTAAGACAAGCTTGTAGTTTTATAGTTTGCTATCAATTTAACACAATTATTACACATTTTTCTTAATGTTCTTCACGCTTCATTTTCAATTTTTTTTACAAAAATAATTGCCCGTGATTGATAAAATGTTTTAATCGGTAACCATTTAGAAAGTTTTAAAAAAATGATTCGTGCTTGTGAATGATCTTGGTTCAAAAATATATATTTCTATACATAATTGCGAAATTGACAAAGTGATGAAAATGGCAATTGCCATATATATCAAATGACAAAGTTTCTAGTCATTAATTTTAGTCCAATTAAAAATAAATTTCTGCATTAATATGGAAAAATTAATAATAAGAAAATTATAGATTTTGCTTTCAATGAGGAAGGTCTTCGATTATATCCCCAACCAAGAAAATATACGTACGTTTTTATAATTCCTTAAGTTTCTTCTGCTCTCTATCAAACAATTAAATTAATTTTCACTCTTCCGAATGTTCAGAAGTTGCAAAAATTTCTAAGGCGTTTCCTAACTTGATACTTGAAAAGCATTCGTTGATTTTTGAAATCTTGAAAGAAAAAAGTCACTGAGGAGATACCATTGATTCGGCTAAGTTTAAATTGTCTCAAGTCTGCAAGAATAGGGTACCCAATGAGAATCAAATTAACGGCAACTGCATTGGTCATCGAGGCGAGCATGCTAGCCATTGCTCCAAAACAACGTGTTTACACTCGAAAAATTAAAATCTGAAGGTAACTGAATGCATTTTTCAGAGTTTTATGACAGGAAATTGAAAGTAGAAATAATAATAATTATTATTATTATTATTATTATTTATATTTATATTACTGTACTCATTGGGTTTCCCCACAAGTAACTAGCGATTATCACAATAAATTAAGTGACAACAAGTCTTCACAATAATCCAGTCCTTTCCTAAATATTCTAGAAGAGTTTAGCAATGCTGTTGTCTGAATGGTTTCAATTATTCAACGGATTTATAATTCTTTCTATCATCCGATAGGGTTATAAGCGATGTCATCATCATCATCATCATCATCATCATCATCATCATCATCATCATCAGTAGTAGTAATTAGTATATACTTGAATATATATGTTTGTGTATGTATATGTATATAAAAAGATTCGTAAAATGTTAATAATGGTTGTAAAATAATAATAACAATCAAAATAATAAAGAGGAGCAGGTGAGAGATAGAATACTAAGAAGACTTGTTGTCACTCGGTCCCTCATGAGAACTACCAAATACTATTGCTATAAAAATATAATATAGAATTTATATACTGATATATAGATAGATATGTATGCGTTTACATATATATATAGATAGATAGATAGATAGATCGGAGGAATAAAAAATATATATATATATATATATATATATATATATATATATATATATATATATATATATATATATATATATACAAAATGTTTAAAAATGATTACTAAAACCTTGCCAGTAAAGAAAATGAATATAATAATGACGGTAATTTTATTAATCATGGGAATATTTCATTTTTTAGTTAATCACAAAAATTTGTGAAACAATTATCCTTTCAAATATTTTTTATGAAAGAATTAAAAAGTGAATATTAGCAGTGGGCAGAAAATTGTTAAAAAGAAAATGGTGAACAAAATAAAAACTGACGTCTTTTTTCTTTAATTCTTTTTTTTATTTTTATAATTTTTTTGTCCTATAATTAATACGAGAGCCACAGGCGGGAAAAGCTCGTTTCTTGTTTTTTGTCAGTTTCGATTGACAGATTGATTGAAAGAAGAAAAAAACCTGGGTCACCAAATTCTCATTTTGAGGAAAGTCAAGGCGATTTAAGTGATGATGAAAAAGTCAGTGGGGAAAAAAGCACACTGCTTTCTTTCTTCCTTCTCTTCTATGATATTTTTTTTTATTTCTTTTTGTCTTCTCTTTTATTGACTTAATAAATGTTTCCATAGATTGACTAATACACGAGTTAGACGTGAACAGTTAAATAACTCACACATTTAGATGGTCGTTGATGAAAAGATCTAATCTCACGTAATAAGAGAATATAAAATAACTCTAATCTTTGATCAGATTTTAGGAGGTGGGTCGGTCTTAGAGATTTTACCAACTCCATTACCGTATATAAATAAAACGAATACACATATACCCAATGTGATATACACATATAGTTATAAGGAGACGTTAAATACATAGATATAAACGTGTGTATATACATATATATATATATATATATATATATATATATATATATATGTGTGTGTGTGTGTGTGTGTGTGTGTGTGTGTGTGTGTGTGTGTGTGTGTGTGTGATCATTAAATAGACATGAAATACGAGGGGTTGTTGAAAAGCTGTTGAGCCAAAACACTTTTCCAAAATCAAATGATCAAACATCAAAATTTTAGTGAAGGAATTCAGTCTTGGTAGGGCTGAGAACTTTCCAGCAATCTCTCGTACCCCTTAATGGTTAGATGATTGGGTAGAGAAAAGAAATGGTAAAGCTTTAATTCAGCAAATATCTGCCTATCCTCGTATATAATGTCAACTTAATGATCACATATGTAGTGATTTACTTAGTGTAGCCTAGATGTGTCGCAAGATCGAATGTATGGGGCCACTCAGTGAGAATCGAATTCACTATATAGTTGTAATTGATCTAACGAGAACAAGCTTGCTAACCGTTTCACCACGTCGAAATGCCCACCACACCATATGTAAATGTTTATTAATTTATAAATAAAGAAAGAAAGAAATAGTTTGCTAAAATAAATTTAAAATTGGGTTTCCGAACCTCGGGTATAAAAAAAAATGGTTTCTCTCAGATGCGATCGGCATTTTGTAAAGAAAGGTAATGAGACCAAATCCCTTAATGTCGAATCAGATGACACTGTTTTTTGTTCTATTTGTTCATGATAAAAGTAAAGATTTCTCTTTTCACTGTCCCAATGGCGGGTTTCAATAATAAATGGGAAAAATGACCAAGAAAATTTCGTTTAGGATCAAAATTATTCATACTCAAAACAACAATAACAACAACAAAAACAACAACAACAATAATAATAATAATAATAATAATAATAATAATAATAATAATAAAGAAAAATTAGAAAAAGAATTAAAACGGATTAATTTTTTAAACGGATTTTTTTTTCATTTGGCTGTATGTTTTTTTTTCTGTGATATAGATCTTCAGAAAATCTGACAGAAACAAAATAATGATCGTATATATATATATATATATATATATATATATATATATATATATATATATATATATATATATATATGTGTGTGTGTGTATATATACGTACATATATATGTATGTATATATATATATATATATATATATATATATATATATATATATATATATATATATATATATATATACATATATATATATATATATATATATATATATATATATATATATATATATATATATATATATATATATATATATATATATTTATTGTATGCCGGTTAAAAAATAAGAATAAAAAAGCTAACAAAATGATACTAAGATTGTCAATAAATTTTATATTTATAATATATTAATCTTTTGTGTATATACAT